ACAAACGACTTCCTGCTGTTTGATACTGCAGTATTACACGTGTACTGCCTACCTTGGGGTTTCCACACTGCTCACACTTGATGTACTTTGCTGATGAAAAAAAAAAACAATTTTTTTTTTCATTTTTTGATAGAAAATTAAAAACACAGTTGTCAAAAATGGGGGTGGAGGTCCAGGGAGGGTCCGACTCACGTTTCTGCTCAGGACAGAAGTTCTTGTTGGGGTTGCGGGACCTTTTCTTCAGCTTGTTTTTGGAGAGCATGTCCGCAGACCCGTCGGGGTCTTCCAGTGGTCTCTTCTGACACACGGGCTTCTTGACCTCTGACCTCTGGCCGTTACCATTGACAGCAGGTTCTTTTGGCCTGCGGAGAGTGGATCAGATCAGGAAGGTCAGATATTTCGTACCCCGACTCTCTGGTCAGGACAGAACCTCATGTGAGTGACGGCGTCAGTGACTCACACTGGTCTGACGTAGGGCTGGCAGATCCAGTGAGGGAGGGGGAGGCTGCTCTCCTTCTCTTCTCCATCTTTTCCTCTGGAGATTTCCTCCTGTGAAAACACAAAGAAAAGTCCAAAGAATTCAAATGAGACTTTCCTACTAGGAGTGATATATTCTTCTCAACTACAGACTGATACAAATCTGCATCAGATGAAATAAAAATTCTCATAAAGTCACTGTTCATACCATGACACACTCGTACAGTAGGTGGCGGTATGTGCCTAAAAACGTTGGTCGTTAGCCCCTATTAAACCCAGTTGTCAGGTCCCTACTTAGGCTAAGAGACTTTCAGGTGGTGGAACAGAACGTGGGAAGAACTGGTTCCACAGACACCAACAGGGTTTTACAGTTTTTAAGTCCTTCATGTCACTGGTCTCTTTGGTCGATTCTTTATTTTTTTACCTCACATCTGACTCTCAGCTTTTTGCTGATGTCGGCCAAACCTTCGAGGTTCTTGGCCTTGGCCAGCTCCTCCCTCAGGTCCTGGTGGATCTGCAGCCTGTTGTCAAAGACACATTTCAGTCACTGGACCAGGACCAGGACCAGGACGTCACTCACTGGACCAGGACCTGGACCAGGACCAGGTCCTGTTTTTCAAATGAGAATGTGGATCTCAAATCTGACAGAATAAGAGTTCCGTCAGAACAGGACGTACGTGTGGTGCCACAGCTTGAACAGATGGGCTCGTGGAAAGGACAGGCTGCAGGGGGGGAACTGCCTCACCAGCTCCAGGTACTCCTCAGCCATCTCCCACACGGGGGGGCTGCGGCCTTCAAACAGTGCTGGGTTGTGAAGGTTCCCCTCTGACATTGAAAACAAAAAAAACACACTCTAATTATCTAAGAGGAAACCCCTGACAGCATCACACAGACCTCCACCCACCTGCACTCATCACACCCTGGACCCCAGTCTCCTGGATACATCGCTCCACGTCACTCAGGTGGTGAATGTTGCCGTTGGCGAACACTGGAATACTGACCGCCTTCCTGGAAAAACAAGTCAGTAAAAAAAAAAAAAACACAACTCTTCACTGTCAGAGCGACAACATCATCAGTTTGTACATTTTTTATCAACAATTCCCAGTCCAATATTCCTGCAGTTGTACTGTACTAAAGCTAATCTTTACAGTGTATATCTATATATATCGTTTATGTCATTAGGTAAATATTTTTAATAGCACAGGTGACGTCAGCTGACCGTACTGCCTTGATGTGCTCCCAACTGGCGATTCCCGTCAGCGGTCCTTTCTGGTCTTTGGTTCTGCCGTGAACTGTCAGCAGCTGGGAAAGAGACGGAAACATAACATAAACAAACACATTCAACACTCATCGGACCGTTATCTTTCTGACATAATTATCAACAAACGCAATTAGAGCTGGAATAAAATGTATTTTAAAAATTATCTATAAAGTTATATAGAAATGTGCATCTTTGTCTGACAAAACAGGGTTCTAAAAATATGTCTCTATAATGTAGGTCATCACAGAGTGGACAGACATGATGTACTTTTCTAGAAGATTCTACCTGACATCCAGCTTTCTCCAGGATCTGTGCGTACGACACCGTTTTTTCAATCTCCTTGAAAACACGAATTTTACAGGTGATGGGAACCGAGAGCTTCTCATTGGCCAACCGGACTGTGAACAGGAACGCACATGTCACAGGGGTAAAAAAAAAAAGAACTACTTTGATGCTGAATGACTTCATTTCTAAAAATATTTACTCATTTTCTCCAGCAGCTCCCACTCGTCTTGTAAGAACGCTCCGTAGTGTCCTTCAAAACAGGAAGTGGACTGTAAACGTCGTCACGTTCTGATTTAATATTATTGAAAGAAATATTTCCAGACGTTGATGTGGTGCATGTACCTCTTTTTGCAATCATCTGAGGACAGCCCAGGTTGAGGTCGATGGCGTCGCAGTAGTCCTGAGCGAGCAGGGCGGCCTCCACGAACACTTTAGGATCGTTGGCACAAAACTGACACAGAAGCAGGAAAACTGTGGTTCACATCCAACATACGGATCAAAGGTTACACCATTAAAACCTCACTCGCTCTCCTGCTCCTCCTGCTCCTCACCTGGGTTATTAGAGGTCTGTCTTCATTACAAACCTCGTTGTAAAGGTTTTCTCGCCTGTAGTTGGCGTCACGGACGAACACCTGGGCGTGCAGCATGGGAGTGTAGCAGAGATGGGCGCCATGTCTGCGGCTAAGCAGGCGCCAGGCCAGCTCACTCTGGTCCACCATGGGGGCCACCACGAAGCGAGCACAGTTCAGGGTCTCATTCCAGAACTGAAAGCCCTGCAGCTTTGCCATCTCTGAGCAAAAGTTCCAAAGATCCAAGTCAGGATTAAGAAGAATAGATTCTGTTCCATTTGAATCAGGGACAAGAATTAAAAATATAAATAACTGTACTGTAGATAGGTCTTGTCATAATAGAGCTAAAATCATTCGTCACCGACCTAAAAAAACCCCGATAATAGTTGTATTCAAGTTTACAATAACATTGTAACAGAAAACTCTGGGGACCGGTGCATTTAAACTTTGTGTATGGCACCCCCTGCTGCTGAGGAGGAAGAAAGCGCTACATGCTGCTTAGTGAAAAAAATAAAGTTTTCTTTAAAAGAACATCAACATTTCTTTTAAATGTCAGTTTCTACCGGTTCTACTACAAGTACAGCAGGAAAACAAATCATTCATAAAACATATCTAAAATATCTTGAACAAATCGGGTTATTTTGGAGTTGTGAAACGTCGGCAGCAATGTTGACAGCTACTGTTATTAGCATTTCACCGGTTTAACTGCATGTGAGAGCTGTTAGCTAGCAAAGGAAAAAAAGGCACGTGATACAGCAGTACACGGTCGGTACTGTCAGTACATGACAGCGTTTTAAACCCAACACAATGATGTGGCTGACCTAACGAACTTAATTCAGTCATCAATAAATACACAGATAATCTAAGTTTCACCTGTAACAGTGCGAGATTAAAATCCAATACCAACGAAGAACCGCCGTTTTCAAGTGACGTCAGTGTGCGCGGTCCAACAGAACCAGAACGAATCAAATCCAGACTCCCGCGAAGCGCGTGCGTGACTCGCCACAGTTTACAGAGGAATACATGAGTTCCACATTTACTCAGACTTCACTTAGAAATTACCCATGATCCTTAGCGCCTGTTCTCTCGCTCTGTTGTTGCTGTCAATGGTATAGATTGAGCACGTTCGTGTTGCTGCTCCCTACAGGACGTTTGTCATAGTGCGTCAGCAAAAGAACCCAACATTACGAAACTTAAAAATTTAATTCAGAATCTTATAGTTGTCGGCCAATTCATTAGGTACATCTGCCCGACTGTCAGCCAATTATATTAAAGTGTTGCGTGACGTGGCCACGTAAATATGTGCTAATGCTAATGAACAAACTGGGCTGTTGGGAAGCTAGCAGTGACTGACGTCAATCATTGGCGATAAAAACATGTTTAGAAATGTAAATAAACGATCGTCTGAACCAGAGTTTACATAAACACGTCCTTTATTGCTGTTACTTCACATTCACACATGTAATACAGATGTAATAGTGATGAAAGAAGAAGATGGTCAGGATCACAACTTTAAGACTTTAGAGAACACTGAGTGATGAAAGAAGAAGATGGTCAGGATTAAAATACTCCATTAGCTCAGTAGTATTGTTTTGATAATCTGTACAATGACTCGGGACTGAAAAAAAGAATATTCTGTCACAAACAAAAATATCAATCCGTGATGTTTTGGTCTAAAGTGTTTCTCATGGATTAAACATTATTTTTCTGCTCTCAGTGAATTCAGACATCATTTATGCCAACGTCTCTTTACTTCCTTTGGTCCAAACCTACTGGCCTTTGTGCTGTCAGGGGTCACATGAAAACTGTCGACATCCAGAGTATACAGTAGTTCCATTTAACATTTAGACACAATCAAATACAAAACACTGAAGTGCTTTTTTCACAGTCTATCCCTTATAATATCACAACCATGCGGAACATGGTGATAAAAACAGACGCACGAATAACATCTGGACACTGTTCACGATCAGGAAACAAAAAGACACAAACACAAACAACGACAGCCAATCAATGCCTGTCACCCCGGTTACTGAGTTCTATTTGTGTTTCATTGACGTTTCTCTCTGTCACTGAGAGAACACTGATTATACAGCAGCTTGATGAGAGAGAAAAGAAAAAGCTGCAGAAACTAATGATTACTGTCAAACACAGTGCAGTGTTGACAAGAAAAAGAAATACGCCAGAAAGACGCGTTATTTTCTATTGTGCAAAACAGTACTCAGTACTAGAATATTTCTGAGTTTACATGGCCATTAGTGACGGAGTTATCGACCCAGTCAGTCAGAACAATAGAATCTCTTGGTCCAGATCCCAACACTGGTCCCACATTAACACCCTGGTTCTACTACACTGTGATGTTTGCATCAATGTTAAAAAAGTATTTTTGGACGTACTGTAGTGAAGAAAGCCTGAGAAGCACAGGTCTGAAACATAAAGGTACACTGTGCGTGATCTAGCAACATCTAGTGGTGAAGTGCTCCATTAATTCTGTCCAAGTAGGTAGGTTTTAGTTATAAAAGCTGATTAAAAGTAGGTAGGTTTTAGTTATAAAAGCTTTAAAAAGCCTTGAAAAATATTATATATATATATATATATATAGTCAGTGAAGGCTAATGAAAAACAAATTTGCTCTTAAATATATGTATATTGCATTTTACCAGTACAAATAAAAAGTAAAATAATTTCAATTTTCTGAATCTTACGGAATGTACCTTTAAATTATTCAAATCATCTACATAGCAGATAAAAGTAAATATGATCAACATTTATCAGCATGCAACCACCAGTTGCTGGTACGAGTCGGTCGTACGGAGCCCCTAGAGGGACATGGCTCCCTCTAGGGGCTCCGTACTGATAAATCCAAAATATATAAATATTGCTTAAATAACATATATCTTTGCAGATTTGCGGTTCTTCTGTTAGTGATTATAGTCTTGTCTCTACTGCACGTCAGGGTCACACACTTTATATTAATAACGCACATTAATAATATGTTAAATAATCATGATCAAACCTCAGCTCCCTTCAGTAAAACTCTCTTCGTTAATTTAGAAAAAAATATATGTAGACTCTAAAATAAATCACATAATTATTAATTATAATAATAACATCAATAATAATAAATATTATGATTATAAAAATAAATATTGTTATTATTACCTTTGTTGTTGCTGTTATTTGCAGCAGTATTATCAGTATTATTAGTCGTTACTTCAGATTACAGATTATTGCCAACAGGTGTCGCTGGTGTCTACATCAAAACTAATCCATTAACTTGTACCAACTCTTAAACCCAGGGCAGTGCTGTCAGTTGGTCCAGTGTCAACCGTCTGTCTCCTTCCGTCCTCTGCTCACAGACACGTCTCAGGATTGACGGCCACGTCCCCATTCTGCTGCGGCTCCTTCAGGAACCGTTCCACTTCCTGTGAGTCCACCTCCACGCTCTCTGGTCTGACCTCAGGTACTTCCTCCTCCTCCCCCTCGTCTTTCTCTGTCTCCTTCTCCTGCTCCTCCCTTGCTCCCTTCTCCTCTTGATCGCTCAGCTCCCCGTCCTTCCTGAGCGCCTGGGCCTCGGGTGCAGCCGTCAAGGAGACATCCTGGACGGTTTCCTCCGGCGCCGAGGACGTCTTTTTAATAAAGAAGAAGTTACAGGTGGCCAGAACCAGGGCTGAGAGAACGACCTCACTTCCTGCTAGCAGGAAGACAAATGTGTAGTTCTTGGTGGCGTCCAAGAGCCGACCTGAAAAAAAAATAAAATAAAAAAATTACAGACACATGTCATCTACTGATATTTGCATCATGTCTGCTTTTTTATGATTGGTGAAACATTTCTGCTGAAAAGAACATTTGAATATTTGAATATTTGAATATTTGAATATTTGCATGACTGCTACAGAACTGTTCCTCCACAGTGTCAAGAACGCCATTGATGATCCCCCCTCGGCCCCCCCGTCCCTGTGCGTCCTCCCTCAGTCTCTGCGTTGACTGACCTGCACCAGGTGGTCCCACCAGCACAGCCATGGCCTCCATGAGCAGGACCAGGCCGATGGCACTGGAGAACTTTTCAGTGCCAACGATTGTCATGAGGACCTCAAACTGCAGCGCCCCCACCATGCCGTAGGAGATGCCAAAGAAGATGCAGAAGACCACCAGGGTTTCATAGTTGTGGGCCTGAAGTCAAATAATAAAAATATTAAATAAAAGGTTGTTAAATGAAGAGTTAACACAGATGAACAGAAAGTGAGCGGAGCTTTTACACCAGCATTTAAATTGAAAACACTGTCCGCTGCTTTTAACCAATGTTCAACACATTGAAGGTTAGAAGTTGAACTGAAGTTGTTTCTTTCAGTTCCGACCAGCAGGTGTCGCTCACCTGAGACCCAATCAGGTCAGTGATTCCGTTGAAAATCATGGCGAAGCTGAAGAGGTAGACGCAGCGAGGTCGAACCCACTTCAGCCCGGCGATCACACCACACGTGGGTCGAGCGAAGATGTCGATGAACCCCAGGATGGTGAGCAGCAGCGCCGACTTGGTGTCTTCGTTCCCCAGCTCCTTGGCGTAGCTGACGATAAACACCGGCGGCACAAACAGTCCCAGCACCATGATGGAAGCGGCCACCGTGTAGATGACGAAACCACGGTCCTTAAAGACGGAGAAGTCCAAGAGTTTGGCTCTGGGCTTGCTCTTCTTCTGCGTCTCCTGCTCCGTCTTCTTTTCAACATCTCTGAGGCTCTTGGGCGCCTCCAGTGGTTTCATCAGAGCCCCGCATACGCAGCAGTTGAGCAGAAGGCCACCCAAAATGAGGAAGCCCCCCCTCCACCCGTAGTGGTACTGCAGGACCTGACCCAGCGGGGAGAGGCAGCAGAGAGCCACGGGGCTGCCGGCTGCTGACAGCCCATTGGCCAGAGGACGCTTCTCGTTGAAGTAACGGTTGAGCATAATCAGAGACGGCTGGAAGTTCAGGGCTAAACCCAGACCTGCAGCGGAGGACGAGGACATTTACACAGGGTCACGTTACAACAAGTCAGAGTTCATCAACACAGGGTCCGTGGCCCTGAGGGGGCCCGCGACGTTACTGCTGGGCGGCCATGACATTATATGATATGTCTCAGAATGTCAGATAGGAAGGGGGCGGAGCCTCCAGTCTGACCTGTAATAACCCCTGTGCAGAGGTAGATGTGGATGATGCTGGTAGAGAAGGATGCCAGGATCATTCCTAGGGAGGCGAAGAGCCCACCCACCATCATCACGGGTCGACAGCCGAAGCGGTTCACCAGGATACTGCAGAGAGGACCTGAGAAAAAAACAGATTTTCATTAGACCTTGATCTGGCAACCGCACAAGAAATCTGATCCAATCAGGAAGCAGGATTTCATTCCTGTTTGATATAAAAGCCTGGATCGTCAGACCACAGGACTTCAGTGCAGCAGCCCACCTGTGCCGTACAGCATGGCCAGCAGTATGGAGGAGATCCAGGCGGTGTCGCTGTAGCCCACTCCGAATTCGTGGATCAGCTCTTTAAAAAAGACACTGACGGCCTTTGGGAACGCGTAGGAGAAACCTGTGATGACGAAACAGCCGGCCAGCACCGCCCACCCCCACCCTCCATCTGGGGCCTTCACTGTGCCTGCGTCCACGTCCAGGGCCACGCCTCCCATGTTGACTTCTGATTTCTAATAGAAGGAAAAGCAATGGGTGACACCAGGGTGACACCGGGGTGACACCAGGGTGACGTCCATCACAGACAAGTATTCACACTTAAATTCACACCAGTTGTGCACATTTTAAAGACAAAACAGTTGAGAGTTTACGACTCCAAAACAAAACAATTCCAGACTGAAGTGAACTGCTCTTCTAGGAAACAGCAGTAAAAACTCAAACGACTGCAGGCCTCGGAAACTCCCCCGCCCCCCGTGTTCTACCCCACGTCAGGGGAAATAAGCTGCATTATTACACCCTCCACCTCATGGTTGGTGTTACTGTCTGGACTGTGTGGAACATTAATATCTTTCATCCATCTGACCTGGAGTTCTCCTTGGAAGAAAGACTCTGGTCCAAACAAACAACTCAACACAAACTGCACACAAACGCCCAGTCATCGTTTTTAAAATGGGTAAAAAAAAACAAACAAACTCTGTGCTTTAATGAAATATAATGATATTAATAATATTGTTAGCATGGCTAAATTAATAGCATTTTAACACCTGGACGTGTCGCCATCGTTTGGCCACAATCTTAAAAGGATCTTGTGTCCGATAACGACTTACCGCTATTTTAGAACTATCTACAGACGTTCCTCTAACGCTAGTGGACAGAATAAGCTGATTAGGAAAACAAACTGACTGACTGACTGACTGACTGACTGTCTGACTGACTGACTGACTGTTCTTATTTACACTAAGACTGCAGCATATGTTCATTATAATAAACATTTAATGATTTATTTTATTGATCTCTCATAAATACAATTTTCTTTTTTAAATATTTGCTTTTTACATTTTTTTATCTTATCTTATCTATACTCTGGTCACGACATCCTCCTCTCACTTTATTAAGTGTAAACCACCAGGTTAGGAACCCAACTGGAGTCCATTATATAAACGGAGTCCTGTTATAGCGACGGTACAGCAAGTACTAACTTGTTGCAGGTAATTTGACGTCACTTGTCGTCACGTCACGTCCGTCCTGAGAGCAGAGCATGGTCATATGGATGCGCACTTTATGTCAAAAGTATTTTACTGCCCTCACCGCGTGGCAGAAATGAACGTGTTAAATGACCTGAAGTACTCGATAGTACACAGTCCAATAGAAGTACTAATGTACTGTCCAGTAGTACTAATGTACTGTGCAGTAGAAGTACTAATGTTGTGTAAATTATTGATTATGCGTGAGTATCCAGTTAACGATGACCAATGTGTGTGTGTGTGTGTGAAGCCGGTCGGTATATCGATCATGTCGGTAACAGCTGTTGAGTCACTTACCGGCCGATGATGCTGCTGCTGACGCTGCTGATGCTGCTGATGCCTCTGCTTCAGCCACAGCAGCGGAGCAGCGTCTCCTGTCTGCACGTCCGCCTGCAGCAGCTCATCACAGTACACGAGGAGGGAGGAGGAGGAGAGGGAGGAGGAGGAAGAGATCCACGGTGCTGCTGGGTCTTAGTGCTACAGACTGTGAATAATAAACAATAATAAAGAATAATTCATGCTAAGCTAATGCAAGGGTGAAGCCGCAGAACTTAACATGACGTCACTGGTTCCAGTACTAAACAAATATATCATTTTCGCCTGTCAATCATTTTAATGATCCCGTGTTCGCTGAAGGTTTCAGGTTCGAATCCCCATTATTTCCAGACTGGATTGTATCAGAAAAAACACTTGATGTAAAAACCATTAACCCCTGTGGTGACCTCTGTTAAAGAGTGAAAGAGCCTGGGTTCGAATCCCATCCTCGGTATTCGATATTTACATTATTTGTCCACTAGCAGTGTATGGTGGTTCTTCAACTCGATTTGCAAAAAAAAAAAAAAAAAAGTTCTTCAACTCGATTTGCAAACAAAAAACAAAACAAAAAAAACACAACCAATACAAGTACTTATTAATTTATTTACAGTTTTAAAATACACAAATACAGTGGTATTACAAGTGAGGAGCAAAATTCATAAAGTGGGAGTGGAAAGACGAGAATTACCCATGATCCTCAGCCGAGAGACGCTTTGTGAGATATGAGTGAGCGTCTCCGCTGCACGGTTAAAAACAAATTGCACAGTTGGTGGAGAAAAAAAAAAAAAAACACAAACCAAATAAAAGACCAGACTGTTAAATCCCATGAAAAGTTGCATTTATCAGTGAGACAAATAAGTTATTTCTATTTTTTTTTTGGTTGGTTTAACGAGTCCACCAGTGAAGAGGATTAAAAAGAAAAAAAGAAAAAGAAAAGCTGCCTGGGCAGGAAGTCCGACCCCAGTCCATCATACACTGTCGCCCCCTGTCCACACAAACTGAACAGCAGCTCGTTTGGACGTGGTCGACAGAGTAGGCACGTCCCATAAATGACCAAAGAACAAACATGTAGAAAATAGCACTACCACCCCCTCCCCCTCACTCCCCCCTTAACTACACAGAACGGCCTACAACAGTCTGGACCTAGTCTACCAGACCAAGAAAGTTCTACTTAAAACATCTCTGCAAGTTTCATGGCGCTCACGTTGGATTGATTGACTGTTCAAATCAAGGTTCCTCTTCACAGCAGAGTTACGTCAGGGTCACTGCAGGGTCAGGGTCAGGTTCTGCTCCTGGACCAGGCTGTGATTCTGAAGACATCACTTCTAAACCCAGCACCGTGTTACAGTCACAGAGTTGACGCAGACAATATTAACAGTCGACTGGAATAATGATAATGATTATAGACCAATTATTCAAACTTTGATGTTCATTAGATCTGCTGTTGACCTTTGACCTTTGGTATTGTTGATGCTATGGAGGTAAGAAATAACTCTGCTGAGTGAACCTGACGTCACATTTAACTTTGTGTATTTTTCTTCTTCTATGGTGTGCTGTCTGGCCTACAGACACCGATCAATCATCAATCAATAATCAATACCATGCCCAGGACAGTCAGGCTGGATCCACACTGGATGCTTGTGTGCTGAGTTACTTTTTACAAAAAAAAGAAAAGAAAAATATCATTGATTTACTGTATTTACTAATTTTGCAATGAGAGACACCTAGTGGAACTGCTCGGAACTGCACAGCCAATCAAACTATTAAGAATTGACACAGGCATCCAGGGTGGATTCATCATCATCATCATCATCATCATCATCATCAGTCACCCCTCTGGGCCTCTGTAAAGATTCCAGATTTAAATATATTTACATGTGTCCATCCCCCCCTCCCCCCGCCCCCGTCGTGTTACTTGTGGACATCATTTTCACCTGGGTCGTTTGAGAACGTGTCACCGACTCTTTTGTGCGACCGTCAAAAACTGTATCAGCACAAAACCCAATACGGACTTAGCTTAAATGTGTGGCCAAATGTTGGGTCTGTGGACCTTCCCCTGGACCATCTCCAAAACAATCATGCAAACTGACAACTCTGTCCTAGTCTTGTGGAAAAGTGGAAACTGCAGCGAAACGTACTACATTGGAAGAGACAATATTTTTTGTACATATAGTGTATGTATGTATGTATGTATGCATACCTGTGTTTATGCATTAAAGTAAAGCGCACACGCGCATCATGGGAAAACACACCTCTCGAAGCTCAGACGATCCTACGACAGAAACACACACAGAAACAACCCCACGTCACCGAGCACAAAAACGTCACCTCATCCACACAGACGGTCAAACTACGTCACGCTCGCGGCATTCACAGCTTTTTTTTTTTCACTGACGGGCAGAGCGCCGTCGTCAGAACACTGTCGCACGTGCTGCCTGGTTCCCACGCACCTGAGGACGAAACACTCACACTCTGGGATCAGCTGTAGAAAAAACACGTGAACAGGATTTTGTGTCCCCTCCTTAAAACCAACGTTGGGCGCCCCCTAGTCTAGAATTTAAAGCCCTAACAACTAAAATAAAAACTAAAAAAAAAGAAAAACATTACTTGTGGTAATAAAGAAGTCTTTTCGAGGAGGGGGGACAGACATAGAGCGTAGGCACTGTGCTTCAACAACGCTGCGATGGTTCGAGCGCCTCCACAGATTAAGAATTTAAAAAGTCCCACAAGCCGTCTCTTTTTTTTTCTCTTTTTTTTCTTTTTAACTCATCGCTCTCCTTGTTCCACGTCATCAGTGGAGACGGAGTTTAGTCACAACGGATAAAAACAGGTAAAATCAACGTCTTAAAAAAACGGAGAAACAAACAATGAACAATGACAGAAATAAAAATAAGAAAAAAAAGACCCCGACCCATGGCCTCATCAACATCCAGGAGGGGGCGTGGGTGGTGGGGGCTCCACATCTTCAAGTCAAAAGAAAAGGAAGAAGAAAGGAGGCTGTGGCCTCACTCTGCCACCAGACTGACTCCACCCACCCTGCCCCCCCCATCTCTCTATCACACACACTCATACACACCCCTAGTGGTGAGACTGCGTGTCAAAGGAAGTGCAGCCGGACTCTTGGACATCGGTTGATAATCCATCGAATCACTCAAGAGTCCAGTGTGTGTGTGTTTGTTTGTTTATCCATGTGTGTGTGAGTGTGTTTGTGTGTTGTTGACTGTGTGTGTTTGTATGTGTGAATGTGTGCTGTGTGTCGAGGCCTCCATGGTGCAGGGAACGGCAGAACTTCACCGTGGCGCTGCAGACTGGAGGCCGCTGGGCGTGACCCGGGACAGAGCCTGATGACGTCAGAGAGAACAGGTTATTGATGACATCATCATCACCATCACTACTACTGTGATATACTGCAGGACTGTCATGACATTTGACCTAAGACTGGTCGACTCTGACACTGTGCAGTGGTTTAACCAACATCTTAAATGTGTGAACAGTTTTTTTTGTCCTGGTTCTGCATATTTACATGTTTATGATTGTGTTTCTATTATTCATCAGAGGAGTTGAAATCAGAGGAGCGAAAAAAAAAAGAAAATTACAGTGCTGTAAAACATTGACATTACATTGTCAAAGGAAATTTTACAATATTTCAGTGTATTGATATTTTCTACTCTCAACCGTGACGACATTTAAGAGTTCTTTCAATGATTACTCTGCTTATTGAAACTAAAACTTGTGATTTCTTTCTTTTTTGTTATTTGTTTTAACAGTGGAGACTTTCCTAAAACCTCTTCATTTCAGTCTACTACTTGCTGTTTGGCTTTTGACCCCTATGGGGAGCTGTAGGTCTGTGAAAACAAAAGTGTGTCTTCTTCTAAATAAACCACAGTGATGACAGTCTGGTCCTGATGAAGCTGTCCTGTTTATTCAGTCTGTTTCAGCGGCAGAACTTCCTGTTGGTGTTTTTTTTTTTTTAATGAAGAACAAATGAAAGTCTTCTGTTGACACGGTTCAAATAAACAGTGTGTGTCCTCTGGTAACATTTTTGTCCCTTTGTGCCATCGTGTGTGTTTGTACCTGTGAGGTGGACATGCGGGAAGTGTCCTGACGTCCTGTCAGGTCCGAGGACGAGATGTTCACGGGAGCTCCTCGATGGAGACGCATGCTCACTTTCCTCTCTTTCTCCAAACCTTTAAAAACAAACGTAAATGAATTATTTAGTCAATAAATATGACAATGTGTTTGACAGGTGTAGTTTAACTATTTACTTTCAGATGTGATCACAGCAAACACAGAACTTGAACTTGAAGTTGTGTAAATATTGTCCCAGTCATTTAACCAAACAGAACTGAAGACGGAGTGTTGAAATCCAGGCAGCAGTTACGCAAGTCTGTCTGCGAGTGTGAGAGTGTTAGAGTGTGAGATGATCACCTGTGTGTGATGTGGGGTTGAGTGGGGAGGGGGCGGTGACGTCCTGAGGCGCCCTGGCTCTCCCTGAGGCTGATGCCATTCCTCTGGCTGCAGGGTTCCTGCTGTGTCTCATCCTCTCTTCTCGCTCCCGGCGCTCCCGCTCCGCGTCCTCCGCAGCCCGGTTGGCGCCCTGACGCACAGAGGGGAAGTTATAACAAGGACACAAACCACTTCAAAGAACGTCCTGACCACCAGGCGGGCGGGGGTGGACAGACAGAGGAGAACCTTCAGCAGCTAAGCTAAGTTAAGCTAAAAGGTTCCAGAATAAAAAGAATTCAAAAACGTGTGAAAATCTTTAGTTAAGCCACTGAACTGTAACTTACAAATTTGAGCATGTTCCAGTCGAAGACGTAGTCGTAGGAGAAGCCCTGTCTGTGGAAGAGGTTCCTGAAGAGCTGGCGTAGGTAGGAGTAATCGGGTTTGTCGTCGAACCGCAGCGAGCGGCAGAAGTTCAAGTATGTGGCAAACTCGGCTGAGGAAGAAAAAAAAGTCGACATAAACAACAGGAGCAGGAAGATCTGGGTTCAGACGAGCGAGGAAATCAAAGAGTACGTACAGGGGTAGCCTTTACAGAGGACCTCGATAGGAGTGGACATCTTCTTCTCACTGATCCGTTCGTACTTCTGTCGTTTGGTGGCCGCCTTGAGGCCTTGCCAGGGCAGAGAGCCCAGGTTGAAATACATCAAGACATAACCCAGAGACTCCAGGTCGTCCCTTCTGGACTGTTCTGTGGGCAGAATTTAAAAAAAAAAAAACCTTAATTCCCTGTATTCCAGATGGTCCATCCTTCATACTGGTTGGTGGACAGCAGCTCACCGATGCCCAGGTGTGTGTTGATGGATGCGTAGCGGGCGGTGCCGGTCAGGTTCTTGTTCTCGCGGTAGGGGATGTGCTGGTGCGTGCGGGCGTCGCGGTATTTCTTGGCCAGACCAAAGTCAATGATGTAGACCAGGTTTCCCTTCTTACCCAGACCCATCAGGAAGTTGTCAGGCTTTACGTCCCTGTGGATGAAGTTCTTGGAGTGGATGTACTCGATACGGCTGATCTGGAGGGGAAAAGGTGAAGAGGATCTCAGTCAGCTAAAAAAAAACAAAAGTCTAACCAATTCAGTAATTTTGATTCTTTTTTTTTACCATCTGATCAGCCAGCAGCAGGACTGTCTTCAGGCTGAACTTGCGAGAACAGAAGTTGAACAGATCTTCCAGGCTGGGACCCAGCAGCTCCATCACCATCACGTTGTAGTCTCCCTCAGCCCCGCACCACTTTATTGTTGGGATTCCCACTGCAGGACAGGAGGAGGAGGAGGGGGCAGAGAAATGTGAGAGAATCAGTGGAGACGTAAAACTACAAAAACATGTAGAAATTGATTCAACGAGAGTCGACCTTAAAAACATTAGGTTCAAGGTTAAAAAAAATAAAACAGGAAACTCGGTTTCTTGACTGTTGTGCAGTCATGTGTGATCTAAGACACAGGCAGCGTCACTTTACTGTTTTTTTTTTTATAGTGATTCACAACCGTGATTCAAACAGCTCGACGGTGCTCCGTGCTCCGGCCCGGCCCATCAGGACCGGTGTGAAGGTGGAGGCCAGCTGGTTCAGTCAGAGCTGGTAATTAGCTGACGGTGCCTTAGAAGAGGAGGCCATATGGTATTTCCTTCTACAGGCAGGCGGAGGACAAAATGCTGGTGCTCAGCACCTAGTACTGCCCTAGTACAGCGCCGGCTATTTATATACGTACAGGATAAATAGATCCATCTGTCTGAGTCAGCCCTGAGACCTAATGGGTCTCTGCTGCACTAGAAGAACAAAAAAAAAAAACCAGATGCATATGTGTGTGTGTGTGCATGCTGTAGTAAAATAAGTCAAATATAATTATCAGTAAAATACCGCATTTGATTACATTTTTTTTTTTAAATATATTTTGCGTAGAATATTCCTGACATAAATCTGTTCTTTCCAATGACACTGATACAAACAGTGCATTGATGGGACGTTTCCTGTCTGCTGGTCTGCCTGACCTGTGCTGGTCTATAGTTAATATGGTGCAGAGTCAGGTGGTCACCCCCAACCCCCGACCCCTCCCACCAGCAGAAGCTAAAAGTGGGGATGCAGAAAATACTCTCCTCAAATCAGACCGATGGGGAGTGGAGGGAGGGTGTGGTCAAGGACAGACCTGGAACTGATTTTTTTTTTATTATTAATCAAATTCTAAATACCAGTATCTGACTAATTAAAGTACTACCTGGGATACTGCATGGCTGTCGACATTTTAGATCTTCCGTCCTGTGCATTTCTTTTTCTGCCCCCCT